AGTGGAGAGAGTAGTACGGAGTAGCCACCTTATCTTCCGTGGTGGCTGGCGGCGCCCGTGCTGCTCCGGGAAAGAGATTGAGACAATCAACGGAGGGAATGACACGGTCTATGAGAGAATGAACCAGAACCAGCTCGAAAAACAAAACCAGTATATCTGAAGGACAGACGGAGATGCAGCTGGATGGAAAGCAGATAGGATAGGCAGATGCATGGAGAGAGACAACTGGCTGGCCTGCGGCGATGACAGGAACGGCGACGGGCACACGTGATCGGCGGCCGAGGCAGAGGGATCCGGCTGACGTCGTCGGGCTCAACGGCCGTTAAAGCAGACTAACTTATTAGTCTAATCGTTGCATCGCATCTGGCGCCAAGTTCGACCAACAGATCCATTGTATGGATTCCATTCATCGTGCCGTTGAATGCCCCTCCCCCAATCCAGGGTCCCAGCGCTCACCTCGCTTATGGGAGGCTAACATTATGGTTGGCTTGTTCCTTTCCATTCCTTCGAGGAGAATGGTCCCCTGACTCGTGGTCAATTAACTTCTCTAGGATTCGCCCCCCTCATTATTTCCGTCTCAGATCGGTGGAGCTTCCTCCTCGACTCATATAATGGCCCTATTTCCTTAGGCCCCCCTCACTAGTGACAGGTCACATATCTACCCCAGTTTTCGTTTGGGCTCTTTTTTCGGTAGATCTGCCTTAATATCAAGGAACATCCATTCCCTGAATACTCGACTGAGTCGCCCTAGCTGTGTCTGTCATCTGATGCGATCACATTTGGCCGCCACATGAGGACAAGAGCGCGTAGCAGGTTGGGATCTGAGCGCACATGGTAGTCTTGATAAATCTGTTGTCACCCTGTCTTCGATCTTTCTGAGAGACTGTTCTGCTACCTTACCTCTCCAATGTTCCCTATCCCAGTATCTCCGAATAGGGCAAGGAGTACTATACAACCTTTCCAAGCTGTCTACTAGACACTGAGCCTGGTCTGGAACCAGCATCCCAGCGCGCTAAGTTCGTGCCGATATTCTTTTCATTCTCTCCGGTTGGCCTGCTCTATGGCAAGGTTAGCCGCTAACAGCTGTTGTTTTCATGCCGCCCTTTCAGCCTGAGCGGGTTGCTGTTATAGGGGGCGGTTGCACGGGTATCACGACTGTCTGGGCATTGCGGAATTCCACCCATGATGTTCATCTATTTGAAGCCTCAGACTCTCTTGGTGGGCGCGTAAATGCCCTGCCCTTTGAGCATAATGGTCACCGAATTGATGTCAATACAAGTTTTCCCAACTTTAATGCCGGGGCTTCTCGTTAGTGGCAACTTCCCAGCCCGTATCTTTTCTTGACTAATTCACATCTTCAGCAAACCTCGTTTCGTTGTTAGACTACCTTGGGATTACCAGTGTCAAGGCTCCGTTCTCCTTTGGGGCTACGGATGGGATTGACAGTTTCCAATGGTGTGGTAGCATACTGAAAAGCATTCTTCTTCGTCCATGGACACTTTGCAACTTAGAGACCTATCGCATACTGTGCGATGCTATTTGGCTGAAATACATGGCTGTGGATGTACTCGATCCCGGCTTTGAGGCTTGTAAACCCGCGGATCCCCAGTCGTTATCCTCGCATGAGTACCTCGCAGGCGAAGAGTACTCCAATACCTTTATCGAGAACTACCTAGCCCCACTGCTGTCCATTCTGTGGAGCACGAATGCGGGGAAGTTCCTGCCACGGGTTCCTGCGAAAGCCCTCGTCCAGGCCCTTTATCATCACCAACTGCTGAAGCCCCGTCAAGCCTTGCCAAACTGGCGTCGTATCGGACCAGGGGTGAGCCATTTCATCCAGACCATGACCAAAAGCTTTCCCTCCTCCAAGGTTCATCTCAAGACTAGAGTAACAGAGATTGTTCAGTATGGAAAGAAGTTCGGTATCGTGACATCTGCAGGCGAAGAACTGTTCTTCAACCATATAGTCTTCGCCGTTAACGGCCAGGAGACTATTAAGATACTGGGGTCGCTCGCAGATGAGCAAGAAAAGGGGATCATCCGAAGTTTAGGCTCAACCAGAAACATCTCTGTTTTACATTCTGACCCTCTTGTGCGTCCCATCTACTTCCCTTATATATGCCCTACTAACCTCACAAACCAGCTCATGCCCAACGTCGAAGACCCGGGTCCCGCCTGCAACTACATCCTAGGCCCCAGCAACCAAGACTGGCAAACCCAACCAAGTAACACTACCACCATCATCACATCCCACATCTCCAGTCTCAGCTACATCGCCAACTTCCTCGACAGCATCCCATCCCACCTCTTCGGCCCCATATACATCACCCTAAACCCCTTCACCCCACCTCACCCAAGCCACGTGCAAGGCGTATGGGAGTTCACCGACCCGGAGCCTAGCGCCCAGACCCTGATAGCACAACATCACCTTCCCACCATCCAGAACAAGCGTGGTTTAAGTTACGGTTTCTGCTGGACAGGACGCGGACACTTAGAAGATGCCATCACGGCTGGTCTCAGGATCGCCATCCAGGATTTAGGCGCCGAGGCCCCGTTCCACGTGCAGTTCCACCAGGATCCCTTGGAGGCGGCTGCATCAGGGCCTCCTTTGAGCCTTGGCTTGAGAGATAATGTGATCCGGACGATTATTCGTCTGATTCATGTTTATGTTCTTATTCTGAGATTTGTTTTGGTTCTCTTGAGGGCTCTGCCGGGGGCGGCTGGGAAGGCGAAGACGAGGTTTAGACCGGTGTGCAATGCTACCACTAGTGGTAAGAAGAAGAAGAGGTCTTGATGATGTTTTTTGTTTCCTTTGTTCTTCTTTTACTTTTTCTAGAGGGAAGATTCTTGGGACGTTATATGAGTATTACTAGACCAGATATAGTATTACGAACTTGTTTCTGGAGGTTGAAAATAGAATCCCTAATACTAGTAGTTGACATTAACGTAAAATAGCTCATTCATAGTAGAAAAAGCAATGGCTCTTCCCGGTTTAGTTAGGAAAATATAATAAAACCTGCAGACATGGTATACATATTGCTTTCTTGTATGTGTTTTGTTTCTTTCGGTTGTTTTCTCTTCACACCCCGTCTTGCCTGTTCTCCAAAAATCCAGCCAAGTGGTGAGCCACGTTCCCCTTATTTGAGATACTTCTCACTATCCTGGTTCACGATCGTGGCGCTCCTCCGCGCATCAAGGAACAGGTCTTCGCACTCTGCCACGTCGGCTTCCTCGATGCCGCCTGGGCGTCCATTTACCTTGGCGAGGATGCTAGCCGGGGTAAGTAATTGCAGGGCATACCGCAAGCTGACCTTGCTGCCGTGCTCGGAAACCTTGTCCAGGGCGGGGTCGGTGATGCTGAGGCCTTCCGTCTTGGCGCGCAGGCGAATGATGGTCTTGATCTCATCGGGAGAGTAAGGGTGGGTGGGGATGATTAGGAGACGGGCGAGAAGGTCGGGAGGGATGCCGTGGGCGGCGGAGATGTCGTCGGTGCCGCGGATGACGGTGTTGCCGCGGTTAGAGGCAAGGATGACAATGGGGGAGATAGAAGACTCGAGGGCCCGGTTGAGGTATGTGAAGCATTCAATGTCGAGCATGTGAACCTAGAGGTGGGGGTTAGCAACTGATTGTAAGGTGAGGCAGGGAAGGGCTAGGATGATTTACCTCGTCGATGAAGAGGACACCGGGAACGAGCTCCGCAACGCCCTGGTCGATGTAGCGGTTGACGACCTTGTTGATCTCCTGGCGCAACTTCTCCGTAATCTCGGTCTTCTTGGGCTTCATGAGCTGACCCATCATGCTCATCACATCCTGTCCACCCTGGGGCCGGGCATTGGCCATGTCCAGATCGTGCAGTGTCACATCCTGAACGATTTCCTTCTTTTTGTGGACCTCTCCCTTCGGTACGGGCACGTATTCCTCAGCTTCAAGATCGAACTCGGTGGCGTAGGCGTCCGACCGTCCGACACGCTTGCAGGCTCCAGTATTCGCTTCGATGTAAATGACGTCTCCCACGGTGACACGCTCCTTTTGAATAGCTTCGTAGATGCTGGGGTCCAGGCGCAGCTTCTTGGTACCCTTGGCGGACTTCAGACCGATGATGAGATGGCTGATCGTGCGTCCGTATCCTCCCAGAGGGTTCTCCGTCTCTTCGGGGGTGAGTTCCGTCACTTCACCTTCGTATACTTCCTTCGTTTCGCGAACACGGAGACCTATCGATGCATTAGAGTCTATTGGGTTGTTCGCGTCAAAATGGCATAGATCGCGTACCGATTGCCCTCCGGAAGTTCTCCATGAGCGCCTCTGTTTTCTTGACCTCAGCCGAGTAAATCTCACTACCAACGATCGGACAGAACGGGACTTTGGTTCCCAGCTCCTGCGACACGGCGAGGGCCAGGGCAGTCTTTCCAGTTCCGGGTCCACCAGCCAGGAGGACAGCCCGACCGGCCATCTTCTTCGCCTTGATCAAGTCAACAACGACACCGCATGCCTGTTATGTCAATCCTTCGGGTTAGTACAAGGCTCATGGGCTTGGAAAACGAGGGTTCTGGGCGGCAATGTTGTCGCATACCTCACGGGCAGTTGCCTGTCCAACAAAACCGTCTCCTGAAGCCTCCGCGGTGCCATCTTGTCGTAGACCAAGACCCTTGATATGCGTGTGGGCTGCGGTTCTGTTCTCCCGCGAGTTGCCCTTCACTTCACTGATTTGGACCATGGTGAAGGGATTGCGACCTGACTCGGAAGCCACAGATATGCGATCGTGGTGGGGTAGAAAGTTTCGGTAAGGAGTAAGTCACACGAGAAGTAAGAAGAGCTGACAGGATCAGAGAAAGCTGGAGATGATGAAAGGGAAGATGAGTCTGGATGCAGCTGCTTCTGGCCGAAATTCAAGCGCAGCTGGGGAGGATCGATCAATGATAGCCGGCCGTGGCCAAGGCGGTCAGCCGCGACCCCCAAATTCTTTCACCATCCGGTGCTGGACGGTCCACGCCTATCTCCAACTATCTCGTCCGCTGTTGCTGTGCTCTGCCGGCACCTGTTCTTCTTCTTCTCGGCCAATTCCCTGTCATGGTCGACTGCCTCTCGACCTTTTGATCTACACAATGGCGGGTTTACAGACTCGTTCGACCATGTCCCTTCCGTTCTCCCTCTCTGCGGCTTTTCGCAACCTTTCCCTCACGACCTCCAAACGTTCCTTCTCCACGACATTGGCGGCACAGAAGACGAAACAATTGCCGGATTACATCCCTCCTTACCCCTACGGCCCGAACTATGTCTTCAAGCAATCCAACTCCGGTCTCTACGGAGGCGCGATGATCCAATTCGGAAACAAGATCTCACAAGGCCGCAACGAGGGCAAGACCCGCCGATTCTGGAAGCCCAACGTTCGTCGGAAGAAGCTCTACAGCGAAGCACTCGAAAAGGATCTTTTCATCAAGGTCACGCGCAAGGCGCTGCGCACGATCCGGAAGGCCGGTGGCCTCGACAACTACCTTCTGAGCGACCGCCCGGGCCGCATCAGGGAGATGGGTATCTTTGGATGGGAGTTGCGGTGGCAGATCATGCAGACCCCGAAGATTCAAGAGAGATTCCGGGAGGAGCGGAAAAAGCTTGGTATGCCCGAACCTCCTACGTTCGAGGAATGGGTGAAGCAGAAGGAGGACGAGATCAAGGCGCAGGTGGAGGCGGAGACGAATATCAAGGAGATCACGAAGCCAACGTACAACGAGAAACAATACTAGAGACCTACAGGGCAAGTCTCTAGCAAAGTCGATTTGGGACGGTCAATTTCGGTTGATTATCTGGTGACCAACGGATGGGCGTCTGTTGTATTATTATTTCTATGGTCATGGTCGACAGCGTCTGCATACCGCTTTCATACTATATCTCGGATGGTGAAAAAGACGACTGTACAGCTGCTATTTAGGTCTTGCATGGACTGCTTGGCTTTGCGTGATTCGCTCTTCAGTGTATTTATATGTTACCAATGCGATTTGGATTAATTGACCTGGTGTGCACATGGCGTTGAAGGGACTAATGCAGACATACTACTTGCAGATTAGCCCTCGACGTGGTAAAGTTACATGGACCAATAACCGTCTTTATATATACACGGATCTAACACCGCGTCAGAAGGCTACCAGTGGCCCTGGAAGCTACTTTGTAGTTTGGGATGCAATACATCAGCACATGTGCGGGATCTCATATGCCCAGATGGGAAGACACCGTATCTATACATAGACATTAAACAACCACAACCTTACTTCATAATGAGCCAACCATTAATAATCATCGTCGCTGGCCTTGGAATGTCTCAAGTAATAGCCAATCTGCAAGGTCATCGGCTTTGTCCCTGGAATGCTGCGATCTTTCGGACCAACAAAGATCCGCGGGCGCATTTCCGGATCCGGCAGAGGAGCCCGTGAAGCCGGATCAGTTACAAGCAATTGATGCTGCCTCCGCTCCAAGCTCATACTACGTGCTAGAATGTCCTGATCTATCGGAGCTGCAATTGACTATCTTTACATCCTTTACAGTCGCCCAGCATCTACTCGCTGGGGACAAATACACCCATCATGCAGTTCGCCCTGCCTCCGCGGAGGACTCCGATAACCCCTCCGTACCCTCGCTCGTCGCGAATCTCACTCCAGCGCAGGAAACAGCTCAAAGCAGTCGCCATCCTGGGCTTTTCCCTGCTCACCGTCTTCTTCCTTCTCTCCCAGTTCTTCTACACAAGTACAGGGGCCCCCGCCGTACCAGCAGGGACATCCAGCATCGTCGTCGTCACCGTTCTAGACCGGACGGCTTGGAGTAACGAGTACATCCAGAAGATCGTGAAGAACAGAGAGGACTATGCTAAGCGACATGGTAAGGCGACAATAACCCCAGTCACTTCCCTCGTGTTGAGTAACTTCAAATGTCTTACAATTGCAATCCAGGCTATACGAACTTCTTCGCCAACGTGTCCGACTATGAAACCGTCCTCGATAACGCCCCGAAGTCCTGGGCCGTCCTCCCAGCCCTCCGTCACGCGATGGCCTCCAACCCCTACTCGAAGTACTTCTTCCACCTAGACGCTCATGCCCTAATAATGAACCCGAGCAAATCACTTGAATCGCACGTCCTCGACAACGACCGTCTCGAATCCCTCATGCTCAAGGACGTCTCCGTCGTACCTCCCGATAGCATCATCAAGACATTCTCGCATCTACAGCCCCAAGATGTCGATCTCATTATGACCACCGATGCGGAGGATTTGAGCTCCGGTAGCTTCCTCCTTCGACAGGGCGACTTTGCCAAATATTTCCTCGACTTCTGGTTCGACCCTCTGTACATTAGCTATAACTTTGCGAAGGCCGAGACCCACGTTCTGGTAAGTGAGGAGATAGATTACGTTTCTTCCGTCTTTAAGTTTTTCATTATGCATCGTACACCTCTAGTCGGGTGCTCGCTTTATCAAATTCTGTTATTTTTTTTTTTTTTTTTTTTTTTTTTTTTTTTTTTTTTTTTTTTTTTTTTTTTTTTTTTGCTTCCTTCTTTTGCTTTTTCCCCGTGTCACCAGATTAAGTAACTAACCCACGTCATCAGGATCACATTGTGCAATGGCACCCGACCATCTTGGCCAGATTGGCTCTGGTTCCACAGCGGACCATCAATTCCTACAGCAAGGATTCGAACGGAGCTTCCGTGGACGGCGTCTATAAGGATGGTGACTTCGTCATTCGATTCCTTGGCTGTGACACCGACACGAAGCGGAGTTGCGAGAAGGAAGTGGAGCCGTATTATCGGCTTTGGGCAGGGAAGATGAAGAACGAGTAACCTCGTTCTTTCTTTCTTTCTTTCTCTCTTCTGTCTTCTTATATTCGCTTTCAAATGTAATGTCCACCTTTGCTTTTGGGGGAGTTTGGGTATGATTTTGCTTATTTAATGGTGTTGGGAGTTTTTTTTTTTTTTTGAACAAATTGTCTTCGGACCTCTGGTACTGTGATATTAATCCCATAGAGAAGCGAGCGCATTCACTCCGATGCTACATGAGTTACCTAGTACTACTCCATACCTCGCAATCCAATAGCATTATTGCTTCAAATTAAAAATGATTATTATTCGTCCACGTCAATAACTAGAACCCTCCGCATAACTCTCGTAAAATAACTAATAACCGGACTATAATCTATCGTAATAGGTTACACATCGAAGGACAAAACCGTCATGCAGAGAACAAACTCCGCCGTAATCTTCTCGGATGTCGAGATCCATTCATCTCTCACCACACCTTAACCCGGAACGCAGTCGAGGTACATGCAAGGTCCCGGGTGAACCTTGGCCAATGCCAAGACAAATGTATGCGAGGTTGACAACCTCGCACGTTACGCATAGTACTTTTACTCAAAGCAACATGCTCTTGTCTAGTACAGACCAGGCAGGATAACATAGCGCTTGCGCTTGTACTTGTCACCGAACTCCTTGCGGTAGCGGCGCTCCTTCTTCTTGGCCCAGAGAGCCATCTGAACGGTACCGACGACAATGAAGAACAGGACACTCCAGCTCATTCCGCTCAGCAGGTAGACGCCCACCCAGCTGACAACCTCGAAGAAGTAGTTGGGGCAGGTGACGACGTTGAAGCCAAATCCGGAGGGAATGCCTCTCTCCGTGGTACCGGGACGGCGCAGGTCGCGTAGCACAAGGTGAGCGTTTAGGTTCGCAAGCTCGCCGAAAATGAACAATGCCAGGCCGCTGTAGAGGAGGAAAGAGTCCTGGATGGTGGCGGCGGGGGAATCGGGACGGAAGACCCAGTAGGCGATGTTCAGGCCGGCTAGGACCCAGTAGTGGCCGCTGTTCTTAACGATGTTGCGCGCGGGCATGGTGGCATTGCTGAAACGGTGGACGAAGACGGTTTCGTATTCGCGCTTGATGAAGTGGATGGTCAGGAGGGCGCAGACCAGGAGCTGGAACTGCGATGGGTCGGGAAGTGGCTTGTCGAAGTTAAAGTAGACATATGGGCGGAGGGGGAAGAGGAAGAGAGCCGGGATGAAGAGCGGTCCCAGGTATTCGATAATGTAGACGGTGCGCCATCCAAGTTGGGGGCCTGAAGATTAGGGAGTGTGTTAGTGAGTGAGGTGGGAATATAGCGGTGGTGGTGTAGATGGTGTAGACGGGGAAGTGTTTGGTGTCAGCTTATTCTACTAACCGAGATCCTTGACGTGCAAGACGCTCTTTTCCTTGAGACCGACTCCGTCGACGGTTGAGTCCTTGGAGTTGGGGACTACAGTGCGATCGCTACCCTTGGTGATCCGGAGACGGTGGATGGAGAAGCCCGAGGCTTCCGCGAGCTTGTTGTAGATTTCGGCGGTTGAGGCATTGGAGGACACCTGAACCTGCTTGGGGAGCTTCTTGATGGGTTTTCCTAGGGGATGGGGAGCCAATGTCAGTTGGGTTCGGACATATCAATTGAGCTTGACTGATGGTGGCCAGGAAACTTACCCCGGGGCTCAACAACTAGAGTCAGGGACGCCATTGGGATTAGGCTGAAGACACGCAAGCTCGTAATGACCCGGCAGGCACAGAGGATATTATCTGAGAATTATTCCACGTGAGCTGAGGTGAGAGCACAGTGCCAGGGTTCGTATACGAGGAAGATAGTATTGATGGCGCAAGTGTACCCGGTTATCGGAAGCGACAGACTTGTTGAGAAGTTGCTCAGCAAAATGCGGCTAGTCAAGAGGCCATTGCGGACTAGTGAGCTGCTTAGTGTATCCAGACTAATAATACACCACTAAGACCCCAGGCATTCCTTCCTCGGCCCGCGAAGCATCACGTGGGACGATCTGCCGGGGTCCAAACTTTTGGTTGCTGAACTACTCTCGGTACTCTTGCAAAATAAGGGTATGCTTTTGTTTCCCGGAAGGATTTGTTGACTACTCCATACGAGACTAGTGCTATCTGCGTACTTCATAGTTAGGGACAAACAATTCCAATCCGGTACTTCTTCCGTCACAGTCACGCTGACAGAGAGTCCTCAAAGGCCCTTCCCTGTTCTTACATATCTTACTAAATATATTGGTTTGGTTTTTTGCTTTTCCCATTCTTCCTTTGTGCTTATTATCTTTTCCCTTCCCGCTACAATGTGCTATCTTCTTACTGCATCTCACATGGCTTGTTGTTACAGAGCATTTGACATATCAGTGATCCAAGAATTATGCCATTCGCCGATTGAGTGGATCCACTGCATTATGCTAAATTTTTTTTTTCTTTTCTTGGTTGCGTGTTGTTAGTACTACTTACACAGTAGTATGCACTTACATGTCGGAACAATCTCGACTTGAGGCCCTTATCAATGAAGTATTGCCGGTAATAATAATAATAAAACAGACGGAGATGGCGTAATTGGAGACAAGAAATTAATTAAGACTGAAAATTATGAACGCCATTGTGTACCAGCAAGTCAGCCAAACATATGCGCCCGCTACGATTGTCCTGATTGTCAAGGTCACTTACCGGGGCTGGCTAGACCTGATAGAGTAGTGTTCAGCTTCATCCGACAGTGTGTACATACTAGTGGCGCTTTAGTCCCAGTCAGTCAGCCAGCCAGCCTTTCCTCACTTTTTGCCCCCGCCCATTTAGCACCTCCGTCTTTAGCCCGGTGCTAGCGGCATACCTTCATCTACTACTTACCCCGTACCAAGCAGCAGCCCAGCCCACACTCACTTGACAGCAACTCACTTATCACTCACCACATCCCAAGCCAGACTATCCATGCAGTTCGTGCTGGCCACTAGATACTACTACCCACTAACATCGGTGGGAATTAAAGGGAGGTGCTCTGATAGGATCTCTCTATACTCTAAGATCCCTTCCCCTCCGATCCCCGAATTGACCGTATTGTCAACCATTACCCGATGAAGTACAAGTAACCCCGACCAAGTGTCAAGGGCACCTCGCAAACTTTGGATCGAGCACAGGTCCCCGAGAGAACGCGATGGAATAGGAGGGTGGGGAATAATAATACAGTGCGCTGGATTTGCAAGATCTTCTGGCATTCTTTTTCAGCTCTTCCCACCCGCCTTCGCTAACTTGAAGCTCCA